TCACATTCATGAGCACCAACCTCAACTATATGAGGAAAACCTTGCACTATTCCCAAGATCCCAAAGTCGTTCCATTATTGGCCCTTTTCTATCCACCACTCATCTACAAGTTCACACATGAACTGTAATGGAGAGCCATGTCCTCCAGACTTGCTACTCCTCAAGGATAGGCCCACTCCTCGGACCTTCCGATACCAACACTAGTGGTGATATACTTGAGCACCAATAAAAGTCGGACTAAGGAACAGCTCCGATACCAAATTGTAAGGGACTAATTTTTCCATTCTACTTTAGTCACTTAACCACACCTCCGACCCGATACAAATTGTAAGCGACTAATTTTTCCATTCTACTTTAGTCACTTAACCACACCTTCGACCACTTGGAGGAGTCTCACTCACAACCTCCTTAAGTCCAATTCAGGACTTGGGACTCGTTAGCCCCAAGAATGGCATCCATGCCACTCAACACTTGCACCTGGTCCAAGTGCTCCACGTGTCCGGTCCCAAGACCGACACCCAAAGGTACCACTGACATCTCGGCCCGTTACGCTAAGGCCATGCCCATTCACCTTTGCTGCACTAGTGGTCCAATACCACTTGCATCACCATCCCGTCTCTCCAAGACTGGGCTATCGGTCCACGAGTGGTCATCCTAGACCCACTCCTTAGCATCCTTAGGATGCCCACAGACCTGGGGAATTGCCTTCCCCAAAGTCCCTTTGTCAATTCCTACCAAGTCCCTTTTTGCCCCTGGCCGTGTTTGCCAACACTGCCACTGGATCGAGGCCCACAGGCCCGACCACTAAGTCCCATGGTCCTCTGGGACTTCCTCACCACACGACTGTGTCCTTGGTCACTACCCCAGAGGACTGCTCCTCTTCCTTTCCACAGTCTAGGCCTTTGGGACAACATTTCGGAACACCGTGGCCTTACGCGAGCCACCTGGGTACTCTCCCCGCCTTTCGCCTTTAGGTGCTCTAGCCATGGGCTTAGAGCGAGGTTCCGTTGAGCCACACTTGGTATCCAAGTAGGTAGTGCCACCCACACTTGGACTGGGAGCATCGGCCAGACGATCTCCCGGGGGAACTAGAGTCGGCTCTTGAACACTTCACCAAGCTACCCCGCTTGTCGGTCCGTGTTCACTCTAGTCTTGGACTTCCCAGTGGGCATCTCATCACCCAACACTGGGTCCGGCCTTCCTGGGCCAAACTGGCCTTTCCTGGCCAAACTGGCTCCACTGCAGTCCTCCCCCTACTATACTTTTGGAGCTCACCAAACCCCCCAGGGTCTGGGAGACGAACGCTTTGGGCTTTCACCCTCTCAGGCTCCGGACTCGGACTCAGACTCGGACTCGGACTCGGACTCGGACTCGGACTCGGATTCGGACTCGGACTCGGGCTCGGGCTCGGTCTCGGCCTCGGCCTCGGTCTCGGTCTCGGTCCCGATCTCGGTCTCGGTCTCGGTCTCGGTCCCAGTCTCGGTCTCGACTTCGGACTCCATCTCGGACTCCATCTCGGACTCCATCTCGGACTCCATCTCGGGTCCATCTCGGGTCCATCTCGGACTCCATCTCGGACTCCATCTCGGGTCCATCTCGGACTCCATCTCGGACTCCATTTCGGGTCCATCTCGGGTCCACCTCGGACTCCATCTTGGACTCCATCTCGGGTCCATCTCGGACTCCACTTCGGACTCCAGCTCGGGTCCATCTCGGGTCCACCTCGGACTCCATCTCGGACTCCACTTCGGACTCCAACTCGGGTCCATCTCGGGTCCACCTCGGACTCCACTTCGGACTCCAGCTCGGGTCCATCTCGGGTCCACCTCGGACTCCATCTCGGACACTCCCACGTGTCATGTGTTGGTCCTTTTGGGTCCCTTTTTGGAGCCTCGCCTTTTGCTCACTTCGTGCTCGTTCCTCAAGCACTTCGTTGGGAGTTTCACTCCCGCTCTTGACTTTTCAAGTCGGAGCTTTTGGTCCAAACATGTTACGCTCGTTTGGCTCTCGCTTCGGCCACTACCATGTGGCGCCCTTCCGGCTCCACTTTGGGGCCTAGGGATTTTGTGTCTCACAGATTGGCACCAAGAGCAAGAGGAGTTGTACCACGTGCCATAAACGCCGCCATCAACTAAGTTTGGTTATTCAATTGCAAGTGCATAGCATTAAGCAATTGTACTAACTACTACTCCAGAGTCAAAGAAAGAGATTGCTGATCTACTATGAAGATGAATGAAAAAGAAAGAGCAAAAAAACAGAAATGACAAAAAGCTAGAAAGAAATGGTTTATCTAAACAATGCAAAAGGCTAGATGTAAACCAAAATCCTGAAAGGAAATAACAAAAGAAAGGAAATGGAAAAACCTAAATTTAAAAAATGAAAAAGCTAGATCTAAACTAAAATCTTAAATCCAAGCACTCGTTAGGGATAATTAAAAGTGCCCTCAATGTGAATGCTTTTTTATATGTAAAGGGAATGCAAAAAATGTGCATATCAATTAGCCCAAAAATCCTAAATTATATATAAAAGCAAGTGGTCCAGATTGAAATTAATCTGACAGCTACCAAAATCCCACTACGCTGATATTAATATACAAACCTTCATATCACTTTATAAATAATTTCATTTTGATGAATATAATAAGAATATAAATTACCACCTACATTCAAACAAGCACCAAGAGACATGACGAAGGTGGCACTGCTGGTCATTCTCTCGGTGGCCTGCACTTTCTTCTCGGGTTTCCAATCTGTTGCAATTTGTTCTTGGCTCCAACCATTTTTCCTCTTGCATTTCTTCCACAAATCAGGGATTTCGCACAATTCTTGCTCATGGAGCTCTGCGGTGCTCACAATTCTCCTGGCGCTCATCCTCCACACCACTGCCGCGAGCCTGGCATTCTTGGCATTCTTCCCGGGAAAGGTGAGCCCGGACAACTCCACCGCCAGCAGCGTGCCAATTGTGGGAATAATCTGGGCACTGGCGCTGTGGATGTTTCTTCTCCTCCCATTTCTTGCAAGCATCGGCTACAGGAAGCGTTTTGACCGAGCAAGAACGTCCCAGCCGCTGGTATTCGCGTCGATCTGGACCACGGCGTGGTTGTTGTGGAATCGATTCGGCGGCGTCGGCTCCTTCCTCCATCCCGCCGTTTCCCAGGTTACAATCTTGCCTCTGGTGATGAGCGCCGGCGTGTGGGGGATCGATGGGATCGCATTTCTCATGGCGTGGTTCTCGGCGACTCTCCACGACAGGGCCGTTCTCGACGAGAATCTTTCCAAGATGGAGAAATCTGACAAGAAGCGTGCTATGCAGCTGCATCGCGGCCACTCCCTGGCGTTTGGAGCCATTGCTCTCTCGATCTTGTTCTACGGCAGCGCCAGGGTCTCCATTTTCTCGGGCGATTTCTTCCAGAAGGACATCGCCCTCACGATGAAGAAAACAGTGCCGGTCTCTTGCGTCCTGGGCAAGGTCCTCTTCTACGAGGACATGGATGTGATGCTCAACAGGACGAACCAGCGCCTCCGAGCCGGCGATCGATTGGTCCTCTGGTCCGAGGCTGCGGTGAAACTCGACCTCAAACAGGAGAGGGATTCTCTCCAATTCAAAGCCGGACAGATCGCTTCCCAGCACGGCGCCTACGTTGGCATCACTTACGAGTACAAGGACGCGAGCACCGGGAGAGTCGGGAACTATTTCGACCTCGTTCTTCCCGATGGCTCCATTGGATTTAGCTACAGGAAATCCCACTTGGTTCCATTCGTGGAGTGGTATGGAACTCCAGGGGATCCCATTCTTCCTGTCATCGAGACCGAGCTCGGCCGGATTGGAGGAGCTATTTGTTACGATTTCGAGTTCCCAGACCTGATGCGCCAGGCCGGGAAAAAGAGGTAGAGCGCAGTTATGATGGTGTTCTCTAAGTTTCTGGTGAATGTTTTTAGGATTGATATCATGCTCCAACCAGCCGAAACTTGGGGAGCAACCGGCCCCCGGGTGAAAGAGGCCGATGCTTTCCGTGTCGTGGAGAATGGCTTTAGTTGGTTTCGATGCTCCACGGGAGGCGTTTCAGCGGTTGTAGATCCATATCTCCAGACATCCGATTACAGGTGTGACAGTTTTGAGCAATCAAAGCTCTCTAATATTCTTCTATTTCTTTGGCAGGGAAGGTATCTCTGACTCGGTCTTCGCCATGGCGCTCCCAGTACTCGGGAAGGCCTGGACGCTTTACCCAAGCTACGGCTTTCTTTTCGCTTGGCTAGTGGCAGCACTCGCTGCGGTACACGTCTCCATGCTCTGCCTCCCTCTTGGAGTCGTGATGTACATCCTTGACAAGTCCCCTCCCGCCTTTGCGTTCTACATCACTGGTGACCGATCCTTCAAGGAGTTTGAGAGGTCGGAGCTACGTTGCGTGCTGTTGCCAGAGGAATCAAGCGTGCTTGTCTAAGGTTCCTGTGAAGCGCAATCTGTAAAGAAGTGTATACAAAACATGGGTGATATGGACGTAGCATTTGCATTGACTTAATCGTCGTTTGGTGCAGCGAGACTAGGCCGGATACCGAAGCACCGCACGATTTGGAGGAGTCCAAGGCGTTGGATCGAGTCGGCTGGAGTGTCGATTGCAAAGAAGGCAGCCCCACGTTGCCTTGACGAGGGCATCGCGTTCCATCTCCACCGCTAGGAAGAGCTTCGTGTGAGCATCGTGGCGCAAAGGAATATTTGCTCTGTTAGTACCTATCATGGCAGCAAGTATCGTCGTCAGGCATCAAACATTGATCGTTTTCTAGTTTTCCATGAAAAGTTTTGAGAACATTCGCATAGAATCAAACACATTCCCTCAGGCGGATCATCATTCGCCTGCTGCACTTTCCACACACCTCAATCACTAGGTATTGCAAGGTATCTGTCTGATTGAAGTTGCTCGCGATCTCTCAGAGCCTCTGGTGATTTGGTCCAGGAGGTCCACGCTCAGATCCTGGGAATGTTGGGTGTTATATAGACAAATATTTTGTCAATATTTGAATTTATCAAGCATGAAACGCAATTGGTCCTTCTAGTCTTAAATTCTCGAGCAATTTGACAACATAATCCAGGCAGCAGTTTATTTTTTCCTTAGATTCTATCAATGCCAAGCCCATACATTTGCCAGGAGAGAATACATAGCTCTGCTGCTCGCAATTCCAGACACCCATTTTGATACGCAGGTTCCACACTCGAGGCTCCGACATGCAGCTAAAAGGCACAGCCAATCCAAAGAAGTGGGAACAAATGGCATGTTTCCGATGAGTTCTCTTGCATTGTCAATGTAACCAGCTCTTGCCAAGCCATCGATTATGCAGGAGTAATGCTGGTGACATGGCTGAATGCCACAGTCAAAAGCCATCGAAACAAAGCAACTTCTAGCACATTTAACACTGCCAACTTGGCCGTGAGCATTGAGAGCGGAGACAAATCCAACTTGGTTGTAAATGCCGGCCATCTGCATAGTGTGAAACAATTCAAACACAGAAATCGAATCCCCTGCTTGGGTGCATGCACTGAGCATTGCATCCCAAGAAACTTCATTCTTCCCTGGCATCTGGGCAAAAGTTTTTCTTGCAAGTGAACTCTGGCCACTAAGGCCATAGCCAGCAAGCATTATAGTCCAAGAAATTACGTCCTTCTCCACCATTGCATTGAACATGACCCTTGCTTCTGCCATATACCTGTTTTGGGCATAAGCATCAAGCATGGTGTTCCAGGAAACTAGCTGCTGGTATGGCATTTTATCGAAAAATCGTCGTGTCAAGTCCATATCTCTTGATCCTGCGTAGACATACAGCAGTGAACTCCACGATACTAAACTCCAACATGGCATTTTGTCAAATATACACTTTGCCTGCTCAACTTTGCCAGCGTGGGCATATCCGGCTAGCATGGCGTTGCATGCGACTGGATTCTTGAATGGCATTTTTTTAAAGATGTCCTCGGCCATGAAGATGCTGCCAGCGCGCACACATGCTGCCAGCATTGCGGTCCATGTTACCAAGTTCCAGCATGGCATTCTATCAAATAGTGATTTAGCTTCCAAGTGATACCCTGATTGGGCATATGCAGAAATCATTGACGTACACGAAACTAGATTATTTTCTGGAATGGCTTCGAATATGTTCTTTGTTTCTTGTAAACTAGAATTTACGGCAGAGAGGTTTAACATCACAGTCCAGGAAATGAGACTTCTCTGAGGCATAGAATAAAACACACGCCTTGCCTCCTGCGGATACCCGCTTTGGGAATATGCATTCAGCATACAGTTCCAAGCAGCTAGATCTCTTTCTGGCATTTTCTCAAAGATGTTCTTAGCTTCTTCCAAATTTCTATTATTCGCATGCAACGTTAAAACAACCGTCCAAGAGATCATATCTCTCTCGGGCATGGCATCAAACACCTGAACCGTCTCGTTGATATACCCATTTTGGCCATATGCAGAGATCACGGCGTTCCAAGACACTAAATCCCTGTGAGGCATGTTGTTAAAGATTTTGTAAGCTTCTTGTACACATCCACACCGACCAAGCGAAGATATCATCATGTTGAAAGAAATCAAACTCCTCTCCGGCATTTGGGAAAACATCAGCTTGGCCTCTTCCATATGACCATTTTGGGCATACACAGCTAGCATCAAGAACCAAGACAGCGAGTCCTTGTCACACATGCGATCGAAAACTTGCCGAGCATCCTTGACTCTCGAAAGCTTGCCATACATCTTGATCTTCCCGTTTGATGCAAAGCGCACCCTTGCAGCAGTGTCAGTGGCTATCTCGACCTTGAATGCTGTGGCGGGCTTTACTGCTGCAATGGACATGTAATAAACAAAGAATGTAAAGAACAAACCTCCAAAAGTAAGAATTGAAACCACAAACGTTCAATGATGAAGTTGACCATTGCTATCGTCGCTTGCTCAGCTTTTATCCACACTGCAAACGCTGGATCTGACAGGTTATAGATTCGAGGAACCGATTCCATCCATAGTTGGGAAACTTACCAGCTTGGGGTACCTCATCCTTGCATTCCGTCGTTCCTCGCCAAGCTCGAAAAACTCCTTGTCTTGAATCTCAAAGCAAGCTTGTTCACAGGCTCCATTCCTTCCTCCCTTGGGTAGCTGAACATGTTTGATTTAAAGAACATTTGTGGGTATAGGGCTTGTGTGAACCATATTTAAAAGGACTTTTATGACATATTTTCAGAATGGTTTACCCCTGATTAACTTGGTTCCTGGATTAGTTTTATTGAAGATGAGAAGATCAACAGTCTAAATAAGCAAGTCTCTTTAGAAGAAAGATGGTATATAGTGTTTGTATATGATATATGGGATTGCATGATAAAGTGGTGAAGAATATATTCCTAATCCCTTATATCAATAAATTTTTTTAATTGTCTTTGTGGTATTTGTATTTATGAAGATTGACTTGAAGCCTAAGGATGTTCAATAGATAGAATTTTAGATGAAGATGAGTCACTAGAAATTTTTGGTGATGCAATTTGGTTTGACAAATGCTCATTAACTTTTTAGAAGTTGATGAATCAAGTATTATAGCCTTATTTAGGGAAGTGTGCAATTAATTACGTTGATCATATTCTAATGTTAAACTCTATAGTGGAGGAACATGAAATGCATATATAAAGTGTTTGCAACTCTTGAAGGATAATAAACTCTACTTGAAATTATCCAAATGTAAGTTTTTCTTGAAGGAGATTAGAGATCTAAAACATTTGATTTAAGTGAATGGTGTAAGAGTTAATCCTGCAATTGTAGTTGATTAGTTTATACCTTCAACAATACATGATCAATGTAATTAATTTGATATAACTAAAGTTTTTTAACAATTCTTAGAGATAGTTTCTCCTTAACTAATCTTCTCCATAAAACATCAAAACATGCTATTATTCATGGTTTTTTTCAATGATTGAAGCAATGTTATATATCTACTCTTATATTAAAGTTTTTTATCTTAAAAAGTATCTTGTGATCAAGATAAATGTGAATAATTTAAGGCTATATTGCTGCAAGTTGGGCATCTTTTTACATATATGAACCATAAGTTTGATGCTATATAGTGGAATTGGCCTATTTTAAATAAAGACATATCTGCTATAATCACTACTATTTACTGATGACAATATTATTTGTATAGATCAAACTTCTATATGGATTTGAACTATCAGTTTTTCTAGTATTTTAATTGTTTAATAAGATCTTTATGATTGTCTTGTTTGTTGGCAATAATTCCTGGAATAGATATTTATATAGATCCAATACAAATATAGAGGTGACAATAAAGTGGCTAATGCATTATTTAGGATGGTGAATTTTATTTTGTTCATGAAGTTATTTAGCAATCTCTTGAATGAGGTTAAAGAGTTTATGGACTTCAACTTTTTATCATTGATATTTGTGCAAAGGTTTTATCATAGGATACCTCTATAAATTTGAAGGATGATAAATTTGCATTATTTGAAATACAAAATAGAATCCTAATAAAGAAGGGATGTGTGATGGCTCCTCATTTTGACATATCATCAAGTAGATCTAGGGAGTTTAAAGCAATATATAACTTTCTCACAAATGCTCTCTCCCTTGGATGCCTAACATTTAATATATCATAACATTTAACCATCATATATAAAGCTCATTTAGCTTCTCAAAGCTGCCATGTGGAAAGAGAAGGGAGAATGACCACGAAATTTTCTAATAATATTCTATGGCTTGGGGGATTTAGGGTTGGAAGGCAGGACTACAATCCAAGGCGTTCTAGACAATAAAGACAAAATTATTTGAATTTGAAACACAAATGTTAAGAGTTTGACTTATAGTCTAAAATTTTTGACAAGATACCAAGCAACAATTTTATTTTTCTTTCTGTCAATGCTAGGCCCATACATTTGCTAGGAGAGGATCCACGGCCCTGCTGCTCACAGCAATTCCAGACTCCCATTTTGATATGCATACATGGCCCTGCTGCACACAGCAATTCTAGATACCCATTTTGATATGTAGGTTCCATGCAAGGCTCTGACATGCAGCCAAAGAAGTGGGAAATGTTTGCGATGGGTTCTCTTGCATTGTCTATGAAACCAGCTCTTGCCAAGCCATCGATCATGCAGGAGTAATGGTTGTGACATGGCTGAATGCCACAATCAAAAGCTAAAGCAACTTCTAGCACATTCAATACTGGCAACACTGAGAGCTGAGACAAATCCAACTATGCCGGCGATCTGCATTTTGTGAAACAACTTGAATCCCCTGCTTGGGTAAATGTAGTGAGAATTGCATCCCAAGAAACTTCATTCTTCTCTGGCATCTCAACGAAAGGTTTTCTAGCATGGAACATGACCCTGCATTTTGGGCATAAGTATTAAGCATGGTGTTCCAGGAAACTAGGTGCTGGTATGGCAGAAAATCGTCGTGTCAAGTCCATATCTCTTGATCCTGTGTAGACATGCAGCAGTGAACTCCACAATACTAAACTCCAACATGCCATTCAGTCAAATATACATTTTGCCTGCTCAACTTTGCCAGCGTGGGCATATCTGGCTAGCACGGCATTGCATGCAACGGGATTCTTGAGTGGCATTATTGGGAGAGGAACTCTATTCTTTCAACATCATGTTATTTTTGGTTATTTGATGTAGATGTGTAGAAGAAGCTTAAAAACTCTTGAATGAGATGCCTCACAGGGATTTAGTGTCTTGGAACACCGTGGCTTCTGTTCCGAAGGCGAGTTTAAATGGCGTCATGTCGGTGGTGACTTTATACGCAGTTCGATAGGCCCAAAGTACATCAAGAAGTTTGTCATCCCAGTCTTTGCCGGAATCGTTGATGACTTTTTTGAGGATGGTCTTCAGTGTTTTGTTCGTTGCTTCTGCTTGACTGTTGCCTTGAGGATAGTATGGTGTCGACGTTTTATGTTGGAGTTTGAACTCGGTGGCGAGATGTTCGATTGTTTGGTTGATGAAATGGGTGCCTCTATCGGTGACGAGTTCAAGTGGTGTGCCGAAACGAGTGATGATATTTTCGTAGATGAAGGTTGCTGTTGCTTTTGCTGTGGCATGTTGGAGAGGTATTGCTTCGGCCCACTTGGTAGTGTAATCGGTGGCGACGATGATGTACTGATTTCGTCGACGGGTGCTGACTTGGGGTCCGACGAAGTCGAGTCCCCATTTCTGAAATGGTGCCATTGGGAATGTTGGGTTGAGTTGTTGAGTCTGAGTTTTCGGTGGTAATCGGTGTCTTTGACATGTTTCGCAGCGTTTGCAGAATTCTTCAGTGTCGTGCCAGAGTGTCGACCACCAGAGGCCGGCTTGAAGAATCTTCCGAGTGGTTGTGTCAGCAGCGAAGTGTCCGCCGGAAGGTCCATCATGAGCTTCCTTGATGATTTGAGTTGTGTGTGGCTGCTTGATGCATCGGCGAAGAATGTTGTCAATTCCGAGTTTGTAGAGAGTGCCTCCAATGATTGAGTATCGTCGGGTTTTAGCAACAAAAGTCTTCTTTTGGTCGGACGTAGTGTACTGATCTGGAACTTTTGCTGAGTTGAGGTAACTGAAGACGTCATCGAGCTAGGTTGCTGGTATTGAAACTCGGAATAGGTTTGAGTCGGGTAAGTCATCGGTAAGTATTTCGGGTTTGTCGCCGGTGGTGATCCGACTGAGATAATCTGCTTGTTCATGATTTTTGCCGGGTTTGTGGACGATCTCAAAGTTGTATTCTTGTAGTAAAAGGAACCATCTTGATATTCGACCAGATAGTATTGGCTTGTTGATGAGGTAAAGGAGTGCCTTGTGGTCGACGAAAATTACGACTTTAGTTGACAGTATGTAGTGTCGAAACTTCTGAAGTGAGTAGATCATGCCGAGAGCTTCTTTCTCGGTGGTGGTGTAATTTCGTTCAGCTGGGTTGAGTAGTCGGCTGGCGTAGTAGATCGGTTGATCGCGGTTGTCGTGTTGAGTTTGGCTCAAAATTGCACCAGTGGCGACGTTGGAAGTGTCGACATGAATGTGGAACTCTTGTGTCCAGTCGGGCTTGGCAAGGATCGGTGCTGTTGTTAGTTTGAGTCGGAGATTATCGAATGCTTGTTGCTGTTCGGACGTCCATGTCCATTGGGCATCTTGTTTTAGTCCATCGGTGAGTGGTTTGGCAATGTGAGCGTACTTGTGGATGAATCGTCGGTGATATCCGACTTTGCCGAGGAAGCGCCGAAGTTCTTTCTGGTTCTTCGGCGGTTCAAGTTTGGAGATGACGTCAACTTTGTCCTTGTCGATGAGAATGCCATCTTTGCAGACAACGTGGCCGAGGAGTACTCCAGATTTGACGAAGAAAGCGCATTTGTCGGGGTTGAGTGCTATGTTGTTCTCCTCACACTTGTTGAGGCATTTCTCCAGGCATTCAAGATGTTGATCTTCCGAGCTGAAAACGCTGAAGTCGTCCATGAAGACTCTCATGAAGTCAGTGAGGTAGTCTCGGAAAGTGTTGGTAACAAGCCTTTGGAAGGTGAATGGGGCGTTGCAGAGTCCAAAAGGCATTCGTCGATAAGCATAGGCTCCCCATGGACTGATGAATGCTGTCTTGTACTGATCTTCTTCGGCGATGTGAATTTGGTTGTAGCCGGAGAAACCATCAAGGAAGGAATACATCTCGTGTCCAGCGACTGCATCAAGAACTTCGTCGGTAAATGGTATCGGGAAGACATCTTTTTCAGTGGCGTCGTTGAGCTGTTTATAGTTGACGCAGATTCGAAGTTTGCCGTTTTTCTTCGGCACAACCACCAGTGGTGAAAGCCATATCGGATTCTGAATCGGGTAGATGTACTCAACTTGGAGAAGCTTGTCAATTTCTTTCTTTACTTGTTCCATCAGATTCGGGTTCATCCGGTAGGCTGCTTGTCTTCTTGGTTTTGAGTCAGGAAGAAGGGTGATGGTGTGAAGGCTGAGTTTTGGCGAAACTCCCTTAAGGTCTCGATAACTCCAAGCGAACAAGTGTTTCTTCTTTCGGAGAAGATTGATGCCTTTGTCTCGAAAACTTGCCGAGATGTCAGTGGCGAGTACAATGTAGTGTTCGTTGCCGTCGTCGGCAAGGCTGACTTTTTCGAGTTTTTGGTCTGCTGGAATTGAC